AATCAGAAACTGGACCTACGGACCCAGACCCAAAACCATCTCACTACTTCAGAGATGAAAACGTGCTAAATGGAAACAGCCTGGCCTTCATCTGCAGAGTTATGTATAAATTGTGCCTCTCCAACTTAACTGTAAGGTATCTGAGGGTAGAAATTAATGATGATGATGATAATTAAACAGGGTTAAGATGAAACAGGTTGGACTGGCAAGAAATACTATGGCCCAGAAGAAGAGACTGTAGATTTGAAAGGAGGAGCAACAACTGGGAGGCCTTGTGATAAACTATTTAGAGCTCTGAATCCATATTAAGCTTCCCAAGAAAAAGGAAACCATATTTGTAACTACTTCAACTGGTGATAGTTTATATGCCCAAATTCCCACATTGTGCTATGAAACTAATAGAATAATTAGGGAGAACAAGGAAAAAGCACCTAATTCGAGACTGAGAAATCAGAAAATGGTTCTCAGGAGAAGTAGCCCTAAACTAAAATCTTACGGATTAACAGATGGAGCTGGTAAAGGCAGGAGGAGGAAGTTCCCAGGCAGAGGGAACTACTTTTGCAAAGACCTAGTAGAAATAAAGATACCACAGCAAGTTTTAAAAATAGAATATTTCTGCATGGCTGGAGCATACAGTGTAAGAGAAGGCAGACGAAATGAGGAAGATGAGACAAATAAACAGGAGTCATTTCATAAAGAGCCTTGAAGGTATGTTAACGAGTTTGAACTTTACCTTAAGAACAACGATGGGCTGGGCCAGCCCTGTGGCTTAGCGGTTAAGTGTGCGTGCTCCGCTGCTGGTGGCCCGGGTTCGGATCCCAGACGCGCACTGACACACCGCTTCTCTGGCCATGCTGAGGCCGCGTCCCACATACAGCAACTAGAAGGATGTGCAGCTATGACATACAACTATCTACTGGGGCTTTGGGGGAAAAAATAAATTAATTAAAAAAAAAAAAGAACAACGATGGGTTTTACACAGAGGACTTATGTGACCAGGTTTAATACCTTAGAAAGGTCATTCTAGCTGAAATATGTTAAAAGGATTGGAAGGGGGAAAGCTGGAAATGGAAAAACAAGTTAAGATGCTACTGCAGGGGCCGGCCCGGTGGCGCAAGCGGTTAAGTGCGCGCGCTCCGCTGCGGCGGCCCGGGGTTTGCTGGTTCGGATCCCGGGTGCGCACTGACGCACTGCTTGGCAAGCCATGCTGTGGTGGCGTCCCATATAAAGTGGAGGAAGATGGGCACAGATGTTAGCCCAGGGCCGTCTTCCTCAGCAAAAAAAAGAGGAGGATTGGCGGATGTTAGCACAGGGCTGATCTCCTCACAAAAAAAAAAAAAAAAAAAGATGCTACTGCAGATGGTTTAAAGGTGGGGAAAAAATTCCAGAAGGAAATACCATTTAATAGAGAAAACAGGGAAGAAATAACATTCAGAGATAATAAGAATTTTCCACAATTGATGAAAGACACTAATCCTCAGATCCAGGAAATGCAACTTAATCCAAGTAGGATTAAGAAAAAAATAAAAAGACTAAATCTACACCTAAACATATCCCACAGAGACTACAAAGCATGAGAATATTAAAAGTAGCCAGAGAGAAAAGACAAAGGAACAACAATTAGACTTTTAGATGACTTCTCGACAGTAACAATGGAAGCCAGAAGACAGTAGAACACTATCTTTGAAAGAACTAAGAGGGGCCAGCCCTGTGGCTTAGCGGTTAAGTGCACGTGCTCCGCTACTGGTGGCCCGGGGTTCGGATCCCGGGCACGCACCGACTTACTGCTTGTCTGGCCATGCTGAGGGGGTGTCCCACATACAGCAACTAGCAGAATGTGCAACTACGAGATACAACTATCTACTGGAGCTTGGGGGTAGGAAAAAAAAGGAGGAGGATTGGCAATGGATGTTAGCTCAGGGCTGGTCTTCCTCACAAAAAAAAAAAGAACGAATGAACAAACTAAGAAATTCCTATATAAGAGCAAAATGAAACATATCCTCTAAACTATGTATACAGTAATAATGAGTACCTAAAGTACCCAGATAGTAAATACCATTGCCCACTAAACTAAAAGACTAAGGAGAAATCAATAAATATCATCATAGAGGGAGATTTTGACACCTCTCTCTCAAGAACTAAACAGAAAATAACAAGAAACAGAAAATCTGAACACTAAACTTAATGTATGTGTGCATGAGTGCATGTGTGGGTGTGTGCACATGCATACATTTCAGGCTGAAGTAACAAAACATAAAGGTATGGCAGTGGAAAAGTATGGGATTGCTTCAGCGAAGAGAAGAGAGTGTATACTACTGGAGTATTGGAGAGTATACTAAATAATGCAGAGGTAGGATCGTACAATAATTGAATGTTCAGGTAATAAGGAGCCTACACTGGTAGGAGAAATGGAAAACAAGAAATTGAATATAAACTAGATTTATATTACTACAGAAGAAAGATAAAATTTTCAAATTATGAAAAAACAGTATATACAGCATAATTCCTTTTTATTTAAAAAAAAGTGTGTAGGGGACTGGCCCTGTGGCTTAGCGGTTAAGTGCGCTCGCTCCACTGCTGGCGGCCCGGGGTTCAGATCCCAGGAGCGCACCAACGCACTGCTTGTCCGGCCACACTGAGGTGGCGTCCCACATACAGCAACTAGAAGGATGTGCAACTATGACATACAACTATCTACTGGGGCTTTGGGGAGAAAAGGGGCAAAAAAAGGAGGATTGGCATGGATGTTAGCTCAGGGCTGATCTTCCTCACAATAAAAAATAAAATAAAATAAACATTAAAAAAATATGTGTGTATGAATGTGTTTATAAAACAAAGGAAAGTTTGGAATGATACACACCAAACTGTAGAGGTGACCTTTGGGGGTGTGCAGAGAAGAGGAGAAAGATTTCATTTAATCATTTGTTTTACTTTTTGCTCGACTGTTTTTTTATAGTGCACTTATACTGCTTCTATAATATAAATAATATGTAAAACAAAAGATGAAAAAGAAAAAAGGCAAAATAACTTTCTAAGGCAGAAGCTCCGAGTTTAACTCTGCTAGTTTTTTGTAGCTATAATTAGCATTTCAAACAGGTCCCAACAAGCCAGGTACCCTACTTGTATTACCTGACAGATATCAAGATACTCTACCACTATTTGTTACGGTATGATTTCCTTCATTAAGTAGTAGATAATAACAACAATAAACAAACACATAGAGACAGAGATTGAATTGGTGGTTACCAGAGGGGAAAGAGGGAGGGAGGAGGGCGAAAGGGATAATTCTGCACATGTGTGTGGTGATGGGTTGTAATTAGTATTTGGGTGGTGAACATGATGTAATCCATGCAGAAACAGAAGTATAATGATGTACACCTGAAATTTATACAATGTTATGAACCAATGTTACCGCCATAAACAAAAACTTAAAAAAAAAAAAGATACTCTACCAGTATTTGAGAGACTTCATGAAAGGAAACTTTTGAAAGATAAATTTCCTGATACTCATCAGAACTGAATAGTATGCTAAAATTATCATCTGTGGCAATTTTACCTTGATAATTTTTTTAATTATAAAAGTTAACAAATACTGGTTATAATTTATCCACCAGAGAGATTGTAAGAAAAAAATAATTTCATCCCCATGTCCCATCTCATTTTGTTAGGGTAACCAGTGGTAATTTAATATATATGATTACATATCATTTTCAGTGTTCACATATAGATCTTGTTTTTTATTTTCATAAAAAGAGAATTATATACACATTACTTGGCACCTTCCTACTTATTCATCAGGACAATTTTTAGACATATTTACCTACAGTCGCAAAACACATTTTTTGTTATCTACATGACATAGTTTTGTTTGCAGTTTTTAAAGATACTTTCCTTTGAAAACAGTAGAGGATATAAAATTCAATCTAGAACAATTGAGCTGACAAAAATGATAAAACAAGACATAATAACAACCTGGTTACTATAGGATTACAGTTTTTTCTTTTCTGTTTGATTACTTGTTTTTACAATACGTCTTTCTAAGCTATAAATCTATTATCAAGTGTGTTTAAATTATCATCAGCAGTCAAATAAAAATAAGCTAAGTAACCTAAGATACTACATGCTCGCCCAGGCCATGCCATGCCGGTGCCCCTGAGAAATCCCCAGGAGGCTACAGGGGGTGTCTCACCAATTCAGCAGAGGGCTGAGTCAGATTCTGAACCACTGCCTCAAATAGTACTCACAGAAATTAGATAAAGTGACCTATGAAGTCATTGTATCCACCCCCATCTCAGGAAATCTTGGTCCCAAAGAAATAATAACCAGTTTTTTGTCCAGTCTAACTTTTACTATATACAGGATAGACCTTTCACCAAAGCCCAAGAAGAATATTTCATCAAAAGTTTTAATGTATAAGGAAACTATAATAATAAACTCCAATTTTCCAAAAATATACCAAGTTATTCTAACCCATCATCTTTTTCCCTAGCTAAAAAAAATTTGTTTTCCTCACTGGAGCACCATCCTTCAGATTGTTAGTTACAGCTTACTACTCAGTCCTGGTCTAGAACCTAATCTATGTTAAAGGAATTACAATGTGTAAAAGAGACATATATCAAGATTCTTTAATCACTAATATTATTACCCACTCTCATGCCCATTCACCACAATATGTGGTGTTTAAACATACATTGTGTTTCTATTTTTGCTTTTTTTTTTTTTTAAGAACAGGCATGTTCATTCAAAAGTAATGGAGAAAATACATTGAGATTAACAGCATCCTATCTTCTTCAAAATTCCCTACAGTTCCAAGAGACTTTGTGAGTGTGTGTCTTATACACTGCCATGAATACGACCACTTCATAGCTCTGACACAATTAGAAAAAATAAAAACAATGTGACATGACCTTGGCAGGCATACATTTTCATTTAATATGACACAATGAGATAATTTTTTCCTAAAACTTGACTATTTCTGTCAATATTCACTCAAAACTTACTTCCAATTCTTTAATTTTTTCTTCTGCTATTTTCTGTTTCTCTAACAGCTGATTGTGAATTACCTCCTTGGACTGAAGAATAAACCTACAAAACACAAAAAAGTTGAAGATTAAGCCACATGACCACTATATTAACCAAAATCAACAGCTATATATCACAAATATTAAACTAAGAAAACTAAAACGATGATCTCAGGCCGGCCCCGTGGCTTAGCGGTTAAGTGCATGTGCCCCGCTGCCAGCGGCCTGGGTTCGGATCCCAGGTGCGCACTGACGCACTGCTTCTCCGGCCATGCTGAGGCCACGGCTCACATACAACAACTAGAAGGATGTGCAGCTATGACATACAACTATCTATTGGGGCTTTGGGGGAAAAATAAATAAAAATAAAAACAAAAACAAAAACAAAAACAAAAACAAAAACAAAAATAAAATAAAATAAAATAAAATAAAAACGATGACCTCCCAATTCAGGACAAATAAAATGCACTGTTATGTTAATGTGACAAACTCAGGAAACCACCACGGGTTTAAGCCTTCTTGGCTGAGAAGAAATAAAAGCTTAAAAGTAAATTCTGCCTTCTTCTCTAAGAAGGGAATCAGACTTCAAGTAGATTCATAATAAAAGAAAAAGGAAAAAAAAAAACATAAAGGGACAAAAATCTATTACAGGCTAAGAGAGAAGTTAACAAACAATAAAATCCTCCATAATTTTTATTTTTTCAGTTATCTATATCAACTTGTATCTAGATATTTTTTTAAACAATATTTGTAAATTAGAGCTCCCTCTTCAATCGTTTTTTATTTTTTATTTTTTGTAACAGTAGTAACTCATGACCTTTTAAAGTCACAATCAAGTACTGTGTTAGGATCAATGCATTAGTGTTTATGAGTTCCTCACACAAAAAGCACTGTATAAGGCCTAGTATCTTTTATTATTATTTCCAGAGTGTATAATACCTCTGAAAAGCTCAAAATGCACAAGTGGAAAATTTCAGCTTTTTCCATTTTACAGTCAGGCACATTATTTACAGCTGATGAGGGGGGAAATATGGGAAAGCTTTAAAAATTAACACTGACTCTGTTCTGTGACTTTACGTTCATAATTCTTGCTGTGGGGAAAGAAAGAACAAACTATTTTAGATTTTTATTTATTTATTTTTTTCCCCCAAAGCCCCAGCGGATAGTTGTATGTCATAGCTGCACATCCTTCTAGTTGCTGTATGTGGGACACGGCCTCAGCATGGCCGGAGAAGCGGTGCGTCGGTGCACGCCC